ACCATGTCCATGTGCTTAATTACGAATGTCACGCCATTAGATGTGGTCTCAAATTCGGCATAATCCTATCCTCTAAAAGCAAAAGTCACTCTCAACTTTAAATTGGGAAAAAAACATTTGTCACCAATGATTAAGATAATAATAATTAGAAAAAATAGATCAAAATATTTGAGAAACATGGTCGGTGGCTTTATCAAGGAGTGTTAGTCAAATAGAGCAAAATCGAGTAGTTCATGTTTGAGTCCGTGCTCGTTTAATAAACACTACAAGAAAATGATAAAATTCCAACGGAATTATATTCCAATAGAATTCCAATGACAATTCCAATATATATCTCAATGTTATTATTTCCGTTGGAAATATTCCAACGGAAATTTCAATAAAAATATTCCGTTGGAATGAGTTTTCCATTGGAATTTCTGTTGGACTTTGACGATTCCAATGGTAGATTTTCCAACGGTGATGGAAATAAAAATTTCAACGGAAATTGCATATTCCAACGGAAATTCCTACGGTCAAAAGCCGTTGGAAATATAGTCGTTTGAATCATTAAATTTGATCTAAAATTCCAATAAAAAATACATTCAAACGGAATATTTTCGTTGGAATTTCTGTTGGAATAATTCCAACGGAAGCTATACCATAAGAATATCCGCTGAAATTTCCATTGAAATATATTATCATAAGATTTTTCGTTAGAATATAACATTTTTTTTGTAGTGAAACGAGTTAAAAGTCCTGCTTGGTTCAACTCGATTCATTAATAAATCTAACACCTTACACGAGCGGTCTGCGAGTATGAAGCGTCTATTTGAGCGTAAGTTTGACTTGAAATTTCACTTAAGACCTATAAAAATTAAAAATTAAAAAACAAGCTATTGGTGAACAAACATTGACTCGTCTAAAGCGAGCTCGTTTAGCTGTTCAAGTTTCACTCGTTTAATTAAAAAAAATGAGCCAAATTTGAATTTTTATGAGTTGAATCTAGCAGTGTACGTGGACAATCCGGTTGGTTTGACAATTCCAGCTCCTTCCAAGACCCAAAGTTCATTGACAACGCAGTATTTTTGGGCTTGTAGATTTTGGATTATTGGGCCCGATGGTGGTCTGAAAGAACTATAATATGGGCCTAATTTGATATTCTCTAAGTGGGTAGTTGTATTGTATTTACATAGCATGAAAAACATACAGTCCTGAGCTATTGGGCAGTGTACAAATCTGGATAAGAACGTGACCGCTTTATTGGGTCCATATTTATTGGGCTAGGTTTTTGCTGCAAGAAATAGCTACATTTTTTCTTTTCTTTTATTTCCTAATATTTTATAAGAATTTTGTATACTTGCAAAGTTGATTGCAATCAAAGGAATTTATTCTTGGCGTTCTAAATCTCGTTCCCCTTTTCTTCCTCACGGAAAAATTTTATTCTACTAGCTGTCTCATGCAAATTGGTTTCAATTCGGTTTTTGGAATAAACATTTCTATTTTTTAATTTGAATTTCGTACAAAAATATGGTTTTGGGATTAAATGACAATTTGCACTTCCAATATTTTTTTATTTAGGCCTTGTTTGGTAACCAGCTATTAGCTGTTAGCTGTTAGCTTATTGCATTAGCTGTTTTGACCAGCGGATTGTATTAGCTGTTTTGACTAACTGATTGTGTTAGCGGTTTGTAAAAAAAGTGTTTGATAAAATTAACTATTTTAATTAGCTGTTAGCATGTAAAATTATTTCTAAAGGCATCAACATACTTTATCATTTTTATTTATGTTGAACTTATAATTATTTAGGAAATAAAAATAATTAGTATTCTAAATATTTGTTAAAGTGAATTAAATATAATAAAATATATGATAAAGAGGCTTTTTTCACAAAAGAGAGATCGAAAAAGGGAAGATTTTTTTTTCTTAAGAATGTGAGATGAACTTTCTTGGAAGTTTATACATAGATACTAGACTAAGTTGCATTTCACAGGAAAAGCATGCATCACTTTCAGTGAAGAACACTATTTTAAAAATCGACCTAGGCGCTAGGTGGTGTCTGGGGGCCTCCGATTTGCACAAATCAGCAGAAAAAATCGGTCAAGCGGCTAGTTGGCGCCTGGGCGGGTCTAGGCGGGCAGGTGGTTAGGCAGCGTCTAGGCGAGCATAGGCAGACCTAGGCGCTCCTAGGTGGACTCGACGACAATTTTTCAGTTTTTTTATTTTAAAATACTAATTACATTATTTTATTCTTATATTTTCTTTAATATACCTTAATATTATTATTTGAACCTTGGTGTGTGAATTTATTATAAGTTGAGATAGTTTTATTTTGTAGGTAGTTAAAATAAATAATAAATAAGGTATTTAATATTGATTTCTGGGCCCCACTTAGGCCTCGACCAGGCACTGTAGGCGCTAGGCGCCGGTCGAACACCTAACGACTTTTAGAACACTGGTGAAGAATTGTTCAATTTTATGCACAGCTTCATTCTCGTGACTTCTAATTTGAGACGATAAAAGGACAATTATGACTTTTAAATTTTTTTCTTCAAAGAGCAACTCAAAACGCTCCCTCAGCCAGCGTTTTCATTTTTAGCTGATAGGACCAAAAAGTTGAATGCAAAAACTAATTACCAAACATGTTTTTTGATTTTTTTTTTCTGATTTTTTTTTTTCATTTATTATTTGAGTAGAGGTGATAATAAAGGATGAAACGGCATGCAACACGACAATGCGACATTACACGGTTAAAATACATAAATAAATAAATGAAATGATGACAAGGACGATGAGAAACACGGACACAAAAGCATGATTTTTTTTTTTTAAAAAAAATAGAAGTTAAATTGACCAAAAAAAGCCAAATAATGGGCAGTTTTATCAGTTACTTTAGTCTTTAGTCGCAGTGTACAGCTAACCCCCACGGTGGCTACGCGGCGTTTGCACCGCCTTGCTTAGTGGCAAAGCTCTCTTCATAATCACACCTCAAAACCGACACTCACCATTTTCCATTTCCCATTTCCCCCTTTCTTAAGCCATAAGATTTGCCCATTTATATAAACCCTAAAATCTCGAACCCAAATCCCTAAAATCAAGCCATCAAAAAAGTCTGATATTTAGGAAAAAAAAAAAATAATAATTAAAAAATCCAGATTTGAAGATCAGCCATGGCCTATCAGAACCCCCAAGAAGGCAAATCTCTGTACCCACAAGTTATCCAAACGAATCCTGACCAAAACCCTTGGCCCCCATCATCTTCTTCCTCCTCCTCGTTGTACCCTTCCATCGAAATGAAGCAGCTTGCGGAGAATCTCTTCCCTGAGACCGAGGAGGACCGAAACCCTAAAAGCCCCACCTCCTTCGAGTCGTCCGAGGAGGTTCTGGTGAAGATCCCCGGCGCGATACTCCACCTAATCGACCGGCAGCGCAGCCTCGAGCTTGCGCGCGGCGATTTCACCGTGGTCCAGCTGAAGCAGGGCGGCACCGTCGTGGCGGCCATGGCCCGCGTCGGCGGCGAGATCCAGTGGCCGCTCGCCAAGGACGAGGCCGCCGTCAAGCTCGACGAGGCCCACTACTTCTTCAGCCTCCGTGTTCCGAACGAGGCCGACGGTATTCTGAACTACGGGCTGACGATTGCCGCTAAGGGGCAGGAGGGCCTGTTGAAGAAGCTCGACTCGGTTCTGGAGAATTTCAGCGCGTTCAGGGTGGAAGGGGCGGCGCCGGCGGAGGTTCAGGGATGGTGGGCGGCGGTGGCCAGAGGGGTCTCGCCGGAGGAGATGGAGAGGAAGCCGGAGGAGGTGGAGAAAAGCGCAGCAGCTTACTGGACCACAATTGCTCCTAACGTGGAGGACTATGGTGGGAGTTTGGCGAGGATGATAGCTGCTGGTTCGGGTCAGGTGGTTAGAGGGATTCTGTGGTGTGGGGATTTGACTGTGGATAGGCTTACATGGGGGAAGGAGTTCTTGAGCAAGAGGATGGGGACCAAGTCGAATTCGGATGTGAGTCCCGAGGCTTTGAGGAGGGTCGAAAGGTACAATCTTTTTTCAAAATTTTTGACTTGTTTATGATTTCTTAGCTTTTAATACTTATAGTGGATTTTGAAATTTTGGGTTTTGTTTGATTATATGGGAAGACTTGACCTGAAGACTTGACATTTGGTGACTTGTGTCATGATTTGCATTTGGTTGATGGTTTGTGTCATATTTTTTTGTTGTTTTGATTTTTTGTGATTCCTTAGATTATAGGCTTTGAGAAGGGTCAAAAGGTAGAATCTTTTCAACCTTTTTTTTACCTGTTTATGCTGTCTTAGCTTTTAATTCTTATAGTGGATTTTGAAACTTTGCGTTTTGTTTGATGATATGGAAAGACTTGAATTGAAGACTTGAAGTTTGGTTCTTTGTGTTATGATTTGCATTTGGTTGATGGTTTTGTCATAGGTTTTGCTGTTTTGACCATTGTTTGATACCTTAAATACTGTTTCTGTTTGTATCAAGTCATGATATAGCAGATCATTAACTTATTTTGAATTACATTGGTCTGTGTTTGTGTGTTTGTTAGGATAGGAGAGGATTTCAAATATAAAAATTGATCAAATCTTTATATGCTGTGTTAGCTTTCAATTGTTTTCTTACTGTTGTTTTTGGTGTAATTTGGAAGTTTGGATTTTGTGTTGATGATGTGGGTTGACTTAAAGTTTGGTGCTCTTTGTAATGATGTGCATTTGGTATTTTGGTTGATCTTTTGTGATGCTATCAGGTTATGATTATAGCAGATAAATTGACTTATGTCATTTTTGAATCATGTGTTTGTGAATTTGACTTTGATTTTTACTTGATAGTATTTATAATATTATTGACTTCCTTTTATGTCTTAAGTCTTCGTTTTTTATTTCATTTTCTTCTCATCATGGTTTTGAATTTTCCAGGGTTAAGCGAATGACCAAGATGTCGGAGAAAGTGGCGACGGGTATACTTTCCGGTGTGGTGAAGGTCTCTGGCTTCTTCACTAGTTCAGTTGCAAACTCGAAAGTCGGCCAGAAATTCTTCAGCCTTCTCCCAGGAGAAATCGTTCTTGCTTCCTTGGACGGATTTAGTACGTTTAACTCAAAACTCGTGATCTTAAAAACTTAAAAACGTAGCTTTTCATATATATATAGAAAATAATAAAATTGCTCATTTTTCTTCACTTCAACATCGAGTTAATTTAATTTCGTTGTCGATTAACAGATAGGGTTTGTGATGCGGTTGAGGTTGCCGGAAAGAACGTAATGTCTACTACCTCGGTGGTCACTACTGGCCTCGTCTCACAAAAGTAATTATATTACGATTTTTTAAGGATATTTATATTTAGGTTATGTTTGGTAAACCTACCCGATAAGCTAGCTTATAGCTTATAAGTGAATTTCGAGCTTATAGTTGATAGATTATGACTTAAGCTGAAAAGCTAGCTAATTATAAGCTAGCTGAAATAAAAAATTCAACGAGATCATTTGAAAAGCTACCAAAGAAGCTTATGAGATAAGTTCGAGCTTTTTAAAAAAAGCTCGTTTGGTAAAACGAAACTTATTATTTGTATACAGGAAGCTTATAAGCTAGCATATTTGTTTATCAAACATAGCTTAGTAATTTAAAAGTCGGTTTAGGTAATTCAATAATCTATCTATCTATCTATCTATTTAAATATTTCATTTTTGTGGTTTAATTGTTTTTACAGATATGGGGAACAAGCGGCAAAGGCGACTCACGATGGGCTAGGTGCTGCAGGGCATGCAATCGGGACAGCTTGGGCTGTTTTCAAGATACGAAAGGCTCTAAATCCGAAAGGAGTCCTTAAACCCACGACACTTGCAAAGGCTGCGGTTGAAGCAAATTCAGCTAAATTGAAGGCTAAAAAATGAATAAGTGATTTTCTAGCTCTAGATGGATTGAAAGCTCTAAAGCATACTTTGCCTTTGAGATGTATAAAATATATAAGTTGTTCACTCAAATTTTGCCTTTCTATTTCAGCAAGCTAGGTTTTATCGTCTTTTTTTGTAGCCCCTTGGAACTTTTCACCTTTGTAAATGCTATTTATCTTTGGCATGTGTTATTATGTATGAATATTTGATGTTCTATTGGAATTTCGTTAAATCTTGTGTGGCATGAATTTTGCCATTTTTCACATTCTGGTTGCTAATTTCTATAATAATTTCTCTGTATTGCGTCTTGCATATGTATGGTTGATAGTAAGGATTTTGGTCGATCTTGTGTTGTGCAAGCTGTTAAAATAAACAGTAAACAAGCCACTTGTAAGATCGGTTTGTTTGTTAAGGCTCAAAGTCAGAACTAGCTAAGCTAAAAGTTGCTTAAGGATTGGTTGGTTTGTTTGTTAGGGCTCAAAGTCGAACTAGCTAAGCTAAAAGTTGCTTAAGGCTTGTTTAGTTAACGAGTTGAGGCTCAAAAATGAAATTTTTATGTAAATTTTTGTATCTCTTTTCGTTAAGACTCAGGTTCGGTTCATTAATATTGACAGACGAGTGAAACTCAAGCTTGTTTACTTAAATTGGGACTCGAGTTCAGTTCACTTGCCAAAGACTTGAGTGAGGTCGGGACTCGAGCCCATTTTCAAAACGACCCAAGTTTGAGATAGGGACTCGAGCTCACTTTCCTAAACGGCCCGAGTTCGAGATTGGAATCAAACTCGTTTATTAAAAGGAGTTCAATTTATTCGACAAAGGCTCGAGTGAGTCGGCTCGTCCCTACAACATATCTCCATATTCCCTTCTGAACTTGTGCGAGATTTGAAAGTCAAAATAGTTGTATATATCTTCATGGACCTTGACGGGTCTGAAAGTGCATTGGGCTTTAGCCCATCTTATGGAGAGTGTGTGTATAGCCTATGTCGTGTATCATTTGCACTGAACTTTGAAAGAGTTGTAACTTGTATGTCTTCATCGGCCAGAACGGATTTGAAAGAGCAACGGATTTGAGGCCCAGCCCATGGGAAGTTAGTTTAGTGTAATTAGTGTATGGAAATAAAATTTTCAATAAAATAAACAAAGTGACCACCAAAAAATTATATTTTCGAAAGTTAACATAACATATCACTTAATATATGTCATTAGACATCTATAGGGTGGGTGCAGTTAACATGACTAAATTTCAACAAGCAATGGTAAAAAGACGAAAAACAATAATATATTGGTTTAGGAGAAAATTTCAAGTTTTCAATCAATTCATTGTAGTCTTCAAATTTTTTATCGTTGGATCTAAATTGAGGCACCTAATTCACCCGAGTATATATTGACCGACTATATGAAACTAGTTGACTGCAGTGATCACCAAATTTTAACCGTTGGATTAATATTATATATACACACAAATCGACATAAGTATGTAAGTAAAAAAATCCAATAATTTTAAGGGTAAGAATTGTGTGAATGGCAGAGAGGATAAACATGGGACAAACCGAACCATTTTGTTTTCTCTTTATACTGCTAAATGCATCACAGTCACAGTTAAAGTGACTCATTATTACTGACTACTCACGAAGCCCAAAAACATATATATCACTTCATTTACATGTAGTGTCATCTAGGAATTTTATTTAGGGTCCAATTTTAAATGTAATTTAAGTCGAAAGACACATTTCATATAAAAATGTATTTAATACAAATATAAATACAGAAATGTGTACCACCAAATTTTTAAAAACATAGAATCTAAATATCACCCTCAAACTTAAAAAAAAATGAGATTTCATGTATTTATAATTTAAGTTCAACAACTATAATTTAATGAAAAAATAAAATTTTTGGTTAAAAATTGATATAAATTGAACTTTTGCAGCATAGTGTCTAACATTTTTGTTGATAAAAGCTTATCGAATGAACATTATTTTATGAAATACAATGAAGTTAAAAATATGTGATTACACAAGAAAAAAAATCAACATTAAAAAACACGAGAATCCAATTAAACATTAAGTTTTATAAATCACTAAATCTATTTACAATTAAGAGACCGAATGAGTAAAACATTATAAATATTTTCAAAAACTTGTCTAGAAATATAAAATATAAGGATTGTTAGTACAATTTTTAATAAATAAATAAACTAAGAATAAAAAATAATTTTTAATTATTTATATATTGTAAATATTTTTTGCTACATATCTTATAGTATTTCTTTGTATATTTACATATATTAATTTTTTAAAAAAAAAAAGTAAAAAAATTAAGGAGGCCCATGGGACCCCTGGCCCATATATCTCCGTCCCTGTTTACATGTTCAATAATTGCCACCCATATTTCCTCAGTTTCCAATCATTCATTTACCATCATTCATTTACCAAAACCCATTTTCAAATGAGAAAATTACGCCTACAACGAGATCATCACAAAATATTTGCAAATATACTGCTATAATATTTTATTAGCAAAATTAGAAAACCTATCCTAAATATTTACAAATCTACGGAAGTTACTAGTTAACATCTATTTCTCTCTCCTCTCACTTTTATTTTTTTACGGAAGTTACTAGTTAACATCTATGTCTCTCACCTCTCACTTTCATTTTTTTCTTCTTCCCCCAATTTCTTCCCCCTTTCTTTTTCTTCAGATCTCGGCGACGTCACTGTTCAGTAGCAATTCATCTTTCACCATGAGAGCGAAAGTGAATCATCTCTAGCCCATGTGTCATTTATATCATACAAATTAATTTTGATTCCATTGATTTTTGCTGCAATTTGTATACCCTGCATATATATATATATATATATATATATATAT